AAGTGGAGTTCATAAAAGTTGACCCTCATTCTGAACATGAGATAGGCACGATAAGGGTCAGAATGATTGACCTCCGTTAGAATTCACATCCATCCTTCATTCCTGCAGGAAAGTGAGGTTAGAAGTTTATTTAAGAATGATTTCTCAACTGCAGAGGTTATGTGGGTCAGATTACTGTAAATGAATTGAAAAGGGTGTCTCGGCATTTGCCTTAAGGGACTGAGGGTGAATATTAATAATTTAAATACGAAGCCGAAGTGCTAACCACTTAATCGACGTGGTTCTGTTGCAACAGCACAGATACAGGCAAAGTTTCCTCTGTGACTAAGCGGCATTTCGATTTAGCGTCACGTCTTCTAGTTCAAACTGAGAAGTTTGCTTGAGTTTGACTGAAATTTTGAGGACGAGGTAAAATACAACAGCAAGAAATAAATACGTCTTCAGGACTGACCCAGAAGATTGCAGTCGAGCGCATTTGTGATTGTGGGTTATCGGGACACATCGCTTTAAAACTAGGTTAGGTTAGGTTAGGTTACGTTTCTTTACGTTAGGTTACGTTACTTTACGTTAGGTTAGGTTAATGTGTGGATAAATGAAATTTACTTGAAAGATATTATATTTTATTTCAATAAATGACAACTAACCTAACCTAATCTAACCTAACGTAACCTAAACCTAACCTAAAGTAACCTAACCTAACCTATTTTTAAAGCGATGTCCCCCGATAACCCACAAATACCCGACTGTTTTTATTAGTGTTGTAGTTTAAATAAGTTACAATCGACCAGGGCCACTTCCATCGTACTTCACTAACAATCACCAGTCACTTAATGAAGCTCAGGCGGTTGGTCCGTGGTTTCTCACCGCGGGTTCCCAGGTTCACAACCCAGGGCGGGATTTGTTTCTCCCCAGACACTATCATTCTGCTTCTGTTTTATATTCACTCATGTATCATGTGGGGGATGGACAAAGGGTCCATTAGAGGTTACACAGAGAAATAGTCATTTGAACATTCAGTCAATCAATCGTGTTATCAGATGATTACGTAATTATTAAGTAATTAATGGATTTGTGTTTCAGGGACAGGTGGTGCCCAAATTGCTGCGGAAGACAACCAACAAGGTACTGAGACACCTGGCTTAATAATTAATAATATTAATTAAATAAGGTACTCGGAATGTGTGTGGTTCAGCTTTCGTGGCGTAACTCATCCGGGATCACGTTTTAAACTTCATTTTAGAATATGGGACGGAGTCTGCGGAAAACGTTTGTCGGCCCAGGCTCGTGTCCATGGCTTTGTGTTTCCTGTGACCTTGAACCATCTGAAAATCTGACAGATTTTCAACTGGTTCTAAGATGATCTTAAGTCATGTTCACGTCCAATTCACCTGCTCGACGATTAAGGACGTAAATGTGATTCAGCGATTTTCAAATGGAGTTCCGTGGTACAAATTGCAATGGAAGAATTAATTATAATTAATTTCACAGTTTATAGAATGCGTTTTCAGCGAAGGCTAACCAATTTATTAATTTCTTCTACGTGGATACTAAATAAGAATGATTTTAACACCGCGTTAACGCCTTAAATTATGATAGAACAGATTTAGTCTTTAAAACTCCATTTTTATCCTCAGGTATCGAAGAAAAATTAAGAAGAAAAAAATCTTCATGCTCATGTAACTGTAAATTTGAGCCGAGGGAAAAAGTAAAATAATCCATTCTTAATTGCACGAGTTCATGAAGCTAGGTTAGGTTAGGTTGGGTTGGGTTAGGTTAGGTTACGTTAGCTTAGGTTAGGTTAGGTTAGGTTAGCTCTTGGATATTAATCCACGAGTTTCTGTTGCTTATGTGTAAACAGAACATTTTAAAAATAATTTTTATGTGTTTTAATCAGGGCTGTGAAGTCGGTACTAAAATCTCTGACTCTTTCATAAAAGTTAATATGTTTTAATAAGGGTAAACCTACTAAATTGTTTAAAGTCACCATAAGGGATTTCATCACCACCACGTGAATTATCAGCCTACATATTAGACTTACATAACCTATATTTAAATATATGTCAAATGGTTATTGCAGAAATCGGTTGATTTGTAGACAGTTTGTATTCTTAAGGTATCGGAGCCAAAGTTACAAAGAATTATTCCCACGCCACGTGGCTCAAAGCGTCGTTGAATCTCCCTGGAATCCACCATCAGTAATTTTAATGATGGACAGACGAGAGGCTTCATAACACATTTGTTCACAATAATTTCAGTGAAGTTGTTTTTTCTTCTTAAACCCTGTGTGTGTGGGGGAATTACTACGAGACTAATTAAGTAACCTAACCTAAGTTTTTACTGATGACATTTTGTGTATAGCGGAATATTTTTGAATGCAGCAACCCAACGCAGAGTTAGTTGCGTCATAACAGTGTGTACAAAGTAAAGCTGAAGGTAACAGATCACGCCATGATCAGTGCGCAGTCGTTACAAAGAATTACGAAAAAATGGAAAGTTTAATAAAGCGAGTGGATGTTTGAGTCAACAACCAACGCCATCTGTAAACCTTGTCACGTGATGGCGGTGAGTGTGCGCGCGCACGTACAGGCAGGCCATTACCGTTCTCGAGATACGATGTCGTAGCAATTCATTAACACCTGTTTCCTAATCACGCTTTGTGGACAGAGGCAAGCGAACTGTTAACTAATCTGGGGTGAAAATTGTACTCCAATTTTCCGAATCAAATCTTGTCTTTACCTCAACAGTCTTCGAGTGTCTGAATTAAATGAGATGTGGATTATTATTGAGTTTTCGGACTTGTTCATTTTCCAAAACTCAGTAATCAGATTACGAAACACCGTCACGAAAACTATGTGACTAGTTGGCTATTTTTATCCACTAGAATCCTTCTTGAGAAGCTAACAGTCTCTCAGCTAGTCTAAAATTCCTGGTCACTTATGATGTCAAAAATTTTATCGTCATGCTTACGACACACGAGTCCACACTTCGATCTACCTAGAGGTGTTTTACGTTCAGTCTTCTGACTAAAATTCTGAGCCCTTTCTTCTCAAACACCCTAAGTCCACTTACAATTTGTTCTCTTATGGCGAGAGAACAATGTTAAGAAAATTAATATAAAATTAAACTCATTTTTAGTGAGAAAAACATCGAGAGATAACTTTGGAGGCCTCTGAGACAGATTCAGTGGCGGTCTCTCGTAAATATCTTAATAACCTTTGGTATTAGCCACGTGTGGCTAATTAAGCACGCTTATCAGCGGTCTTCTGTGTGGGGGGAAATGAAAGGATTAACAGTTGGCAGTTTTGAATGACTAACTGGATACAGCAGGAGATAAGAACACATGAGACTAACCTTCTGGTGAAATTAAGCATATGAAGGGAAGCCGCTTGAAAAATATCAGTCAATTTGCTTTTGTTGGAGGGGATATGAATCTCTCTTAAAGCCCCCAGATGGAGGACCATGGCCTCGTTTCAGGGTAATTGTTTTTTCGGAAAGTTGGCACTGCTGTCTGCGTGTCTACTTTCTGTTAGGATTGAAGAGGATTAAAATTTTAATCGTTTGGAATTTAATGCGTGATGTAACATGAGATTAAATATCAACGTAAGACAGGCAATAAGACAAAAAACAACAACAAAGAAGTAGGTACAGTCAAATTTTGTAAGGTTATGGCTGTCCGAGTCCTTATTTACAGATCACACGAGTGGAAAATTGTATCTGCTGAAATGAGGGTTTTATGACTAACTCTCGAGGACAAGGAGAATTACGAACTAACACAAGAAATTATGAATTTCTAACTTCGTGGAAAAGTAAAACGTTTTGATTATTCTGGATTGGCAGGAACCAAAATTAAATTAAGATTGAATTGAATCGCCCTGATGGCGGAGGCAGTATGACCTCTGAAACGTTGGTTCACATCGACCAGACTACACAGCGCAAGAACCCAGAAGACAGAAATCTTCATACTCACCGCTGTGAGAACCTCAAATCTTACGAAATTAAATTAATTAATTAATTCAGTTTTATCAGAGATTAAACTATGCACGTGACATCCCATTTTATGCAAAATGCACAAGGAATCAAAAATTTCTCTTCGTTTACGTCATCTGGGACCCGAGTACATGGCCGCTGGAAGCTTTGCATTATGAATACCCACACTGCAGAACCAAGCGAGTAAATGATGATGATGATGATGCCTCATCATCAGATTGTAGGACAGTCAGTGTTCAGACAGCTAATAAAACTTTTGAAAATAATGTCGCAGAAATACATGCAGAAATTATGGGGGAATACTTGCTACAATCAATTCACAGTCTTTTGACTTCTCAGCTGTTACCTAAAAATGCAAAGACTAATTTATAACAAACTTAGTTTATCATCTTTTACGTGGGTGTGAAACTTGGTCTCTTGCCAGATACGAGGAATACAGATTGACATTTAAGGTTCTCATGTTGTTAGGAGATAGTTCGTTCCTCTGAACAGTTGGTAGCCCTGCTCGTACACACCTCGTAAGTCCACGTGGCATTACAACGCAGTTCGCTATGAACAAAAATTACGATCTGGGATGTTTGAGAACGTGGTCCTGAAGATAATATTTAGACCTAAGAGGTTAAAATTGGCAAGGACAGAGAGGTTTCTGTGAACACAGCAATGAATGATGAGATATCTTACAAGCACGGATGATGCAGGAACCCCCAAACACCAGCCACGTTTCGATCCGCGTACTCTTTTGAGTGGTGGTTCAGACGCGCATGAGCAGAGTAGCGCAGCTGACGTGTGCGCGCGCATATCTCGAGATATACGAAGTGATCAGTACAGGTTCGCCCTCTTCCTCACACAGAACTGGTGGCCCGGGTTGGGATCGTGACGTCAGGAAGTTACCCGGTGCGTGGACTTTGCTGTTTTGTTCTATTTTGTTTAACGACGCGCTGGCAGTCTCATCGATCCCATTGTTTTAGCGACCAGAGCTAAACCCAACAGGAATTATTCTCTCACCCTCTAACATCTTTCGTTACATTTACAAGTTATCGGCAGGGGTCTGCATGGTGTGATTCTTAGATGGTGTAGTCTTCGTAGAAGTTTACTGACGTTTTAGAGGTCATTGCTGCCTTCATAATCAGGGTAAAGCACCAGACGTAACTCCACTTTTTCACCATGGAGAATGGTTTGTATTTATTATCTTGCCAAAACGTTGTATTACAATGGTCCCGGACTAAAACGTGCGTTTCTCATACGTCACTAGCTTCCGGGTAGGTTTGTGTTGGGAACTGTTCTTGACTCACTCTTCCATTTTTACGATAATTCGGTTTTGCTTCATCCATCGGTCTCGAGACAAATTTTAAAGTATTCGAGGAAAAAGAGACGTGTAACGTTTCCATCAGTTTCTCACTGCGTTCTTTCTGTCCAATGATGTTTATTTTTTCTTAGAACCCAGCGGCTTCTGTGAAAAACCTAGTCTCAGTTTATTAAAATTTTCTTTCCTTCCCAAAAAATTACTTTAATACTTGTTTCTTAATCCTTTGAAGTCGAGTGTCGTCTAAATAATATTAAAGAATTCAGTCCGTACCGCGAAGAAAACACCACACTTCACCATTACGAAGATCAACTGGTTAACGCTGTTTAAGGAAATAATCGCTGTTTATTCTGATAATTAATTAACCCTTCGAAGTCGAAGTTCGTCTAAATAGCATTTAAGAATTCAGTCCGTACCGCGAAGTAAACACAACTCTTCACCATTACGAAGATCAACTGGTTAACGCTGTTTAAGGATATTATCGTTGTTTACGTGGGGAATCCTACTAAACACACAAATACCAATATAGAAACACTGTTTAAAAAGTAGGTGGTACATATAGTTACCACTGGGCTTTCGAAAGATTCATCACGAATATTCTCATTATATAACTGGATCCTTCCGTGTTTCTCCTCAGTCCAGATATCATCTTCAGCATCTGTTCTCAAACAAGCTTGGTTTTTACTCGAAGTGATTTGTGCATTTTAGATTTCCCAAAAAGGATAATTTTTTTTAGATAATGTGCAATGTTGGTACAGACTCTGTAATAAGGTTTGCCGGAAAGTCTCCCGAATACAAACGAACAAGGTGACAGTCACGCCCCGCCCTCGGT